TGCGTACAGTCTAGGATTTGATCCACAAAACGAGCGCGTGATAAGCACGCTGTCACTACACTACTTCCGCCCTATTTGCGAAATGAGCGCGAAATGATTCCGAGGAATAATTAGCCCTCACAAACCCATCACGAAGGGCGATCACAGTTTTGCCTTAAGAAGACACCGAAAACGCGCCGTAAGCGTTCCCAGGATTTTTTTGCCTAGATAACGAAAACGCCGATAACATGTTGTACTTACCTGACGACAAGTCATAGTTACACTTATGCAGTCACTGCTGGCTTCAAAAGATCGTTTCAGTTGTCCTGCAAACAAGCGTTCGATTTCACACCATCGGACTAAAAAAGCGTTTTGTCCCTTCAGATCGCTGAAAAACTATTTGAGGCTTTGTTCGCTGTTTCACAAAATCTTGTCTGATACTTCAGAGAGCTGAACAACGACTAGCAGCCGAATTATTCACGGGTGTCGCAAAAGGTACTAAGTATATTGGCTTCAAGAAATTGGATCAGCTATGGAAATGGTTGGCTCCTGCGATAGACAATCTGTACGACCGCATGAACGCAGACGCCTACCTGGCCTGGCAAAGCTGCATCACAGACGTAAGATGCGCCTTTCGAGAACTCAATTATTTGAAATCATTAATGCTATCTTAGGTGCTTAATCGGGACGATACTCGACGATTTTGGTGGCTGATTGAGCGATTTCTCAGCAGCATGACACGTCCTGCGCCTACGGCTTGGCATCAGGGAATGTAAGACCTATCAATGAATAAATGTGGTTAAGTATGCAATTTACGACGACGAGATTTCACCTTTAGCCGTTCCTATGTTCTGCTTGCCACTGATTGGCGTGAAACGGAAACTCGACGTAGAATTTGTGAGATAGCATGGAAGAATCTACCAAAGGCCGTAATCGAGACCCAACGACTTGGAATCTCAACGTACTGTCCTCTGTTCAATTCAGTACTGTTGCGATTACAACCGTCGCACAGAATCAGATCTTTAATTTCAGATCGCTGAAACATGTTTGTACGGTATTAGAGGCGAACATGAACAATGATCTGAAGAATATGCCGGAGAGGTTTCAACTGGAGAGCGTTGATGTGTGGTTGGGACGTTTTGAGAAAAAGGTAATACTTGTTTCTAAAATCTCACTTGTACAAATAGCTATTTTGGTGCATTGCGGGATCAACACAGACAAGAAGTGCTTCCTAAACGTTGACCGTCTTGAAGAAGGATTCCACGCAAAAGTCGGAAATCAATGGGAAATATACTTATGTAGTTGAAAAACAAGCGAGCCCTCTAAGGGTGAAGGGCTATGCGCGTTTCGCAGTGGCGAGTTTTCCTCCAGCTGCCTAGCAGAGGCCCACCGTCAGAGGGCTCCACTTGGCTAGCGTTTCGTACATATTGACCCTCAATAAGGTGGTGCGGAACGAAATAAAGAAGCAAGGTAGGTGACAGACCTGCTCTAAGGGCGAGGGAGCTGTACTTCCGAGTTTGAATAGCCGGTTTTGCTGCTTGTTTCTCACAACCCATGCTGCGTGGCTGGAGCTCAGTTGCCGCTGCAGAACTCATTAATTGCACAGATTGGCTTTACTAGTCACTTGTGAATGAGTCTCTACAGTAGCACTGGTACGAATCCCTTCAAATTTTCCCTCATGGATACATTTGCTTGGTGACCTTTCTTAACTCTTCAACAGCCACAATTTCAAGATAACCTTCACGACCTTCGCCCTCGAGGCTTTTGCCCCTTTTAGAAAACGCAGCAGTAATAGCTGGCGCTCCTACAAAATGAATCGTCACTATCGAACACGTTTTTCAAAAAACATGATGAAATTCAGTAGCCATTTTCCCTTTGTGCCGCAAGTGCACGTGCAGGCACCTTCCGACTAAAAACCATCATTGGAACACAATCATTTGCCGAAACCCAATATATCGCACTGTGCGCCAGAAGTCGCCGTGTTGTTGGGATCTTATTCAATATGAGAAGTTATATCCTAGCCTAGAAACAACAACACAAATATGGGCGGCATTTAAATCGGACAACAACTATCACAACATGCGGTAGCGGTCAAAAGTGTTCGCGGAAACGGTTTCTAGTGCTTCCCTTTTTTGGCATTTGCTCTATTGAATGTCCTGATTCTTTGAGACTTGAGGACATAAAAACCCTAAAACCCTAGTATATCAATTGTTGGAAGACGTTGCTCAAGCGAGAAAAAATAATGCACCGAAAAAAAGTTTCGGCGAACACTTTTGACCACTACTGTAGCTGAGGCATCACCATTGCCCTCTGATTGGGTCACTAGTTTGAAGAGGCTACTTATCCTGGTTGTTTAGCCTGTTCTCGTCGCAGAATTCTTGTTCCTCAGTGACAATGCAAAAAAGCTGAACCTTTTACAGCTGGGTCTGCTTGTAAGCCCTCCTAAGACGACATCTGATACCTCGCTCAAGCAGCAAAATAGCGGAACAGCGCAACTGAGCGAGAAGCAGGACGAAGAGCAAACAAAAAGCATCACTCCGAAGAGCACTGAGGTGAAA